AGCAACCTCGGTGGGTCGGCAAAGACCCTGACTTTAGCTGTAGCTCCCTGCACACCAGAAGGATGCATTTTAAAATATGTCTTCACTGATCTTTAGAGAGAGAGGAAGTGAGGGGGGAAGGGAAAGAGACATTGATGAGAAACATCTATAGGCTGCCTCCTGCATGCCCCCTACTGGGCACAGAGCCCAAAACTCCGGCATGTGCCCTGACCACGAATCGAACCCAAAACCCAGGTATGTGCCCTGATCAGGAATGAAACCGGCAACCTTGCAGTGCACAGGACAATGCTCAACCAACTGAGCCACACCAGCCAGGGCTACAAACATTTGGTTTAGGAAGACTGCAGAACCTAGGTAAGCTGAGGAATGAGGCTGTTAAATTTAGCCCCCAAATCTAGATGCACAGGTGCCCATTTCTCTTTATAATTGAAGGGAGGTGTTCAAATAGCATCTCATTGTTTGAGAAAGTCGTTTTCACATGTTGATTCCCAAAAACTGACACTTTACTACTGAACATTGCAGTCCTACAGGGTTTTTAAGGCATGGATGGAATTCACCTGAGAAATCAGGCAAAGGGGGAAACACAGCTGTGGGTCAGGAGTCAGAAACGCAGGCACAAAGAGGACACAGGGCATTCTGAGCACGCACACATAGTTTTGGGTTTTTTCCCTCCTATAAACAGTCATCAGAGAACGAGAAGAGTGCTTCTAGAGAAGCAGGTGTTTCTCTTTTGCAGTGTGTGGTCTTTGCAGTGTTGTTGAAAGAAATACGACCTTTCTCTGAGGCATTTTAATGTTCTAGGGATGGATGCTGACTTCTGGAGCTCTGTGAGGTCTGCTCCTCCCCTTCTGTCTTTATAAGGAAGGGACCCTGTCTGTGCTCACGTCGGGGGTTGACAGCACGCGTACAAGAAAGCCTGTCCCCCAGCACACACAGGGACCCCTCAGCCCTCAGAGGGCGGTCGGCCTTCAGAAGAGGCGCCCATTGGCACAGGTGGTGTCAGGCTGCCTAACGAGTCTGCACGCAGCACCACGGACCCAACAAGCCAGACACAGGCAGGGCTCCTGTCACTGTGGGCCACCTTGGATGACTCAGCAGTGACCGTCGTGACGTTTGCAGTTTGTCATTCTTAGAGAAAAACGGCCCGTGTGTTTCAAGATGTTTGTTGGGTTTTATGACGAAGAAAACTGCAAAGACAAATGAACTGAATTCTGGAATTGGATCTGAGAATCCAACAGTGATACTGAAAAGAGACTGTGCCTACGTCCAAACACTCCAACCTACGTGAGTCCCATCGTCCACATTATAATACCCGCCGCTGAAAACAAGACAAATTAGGTTGCCATTGTTTTCTCATTTCCTGTTATTTTGATTAATGAAATTATTTCCCCAGCTTAACTGTTTTAAAATAACACTTAGAATAATAAGAAATCATGTATTAATCATAGTCTTTAAACTTTAGCAAAGAATCTAAACCAATCAAAACTCCAGTTTTCACATTTTAGCAAAAACCAGTCTGGTCTTTTAAACCCCCAACCCAGGAGGTTGGGGAGAGAGGGTTAATTTTTTTCTTGGTTTTAAACTTTAACTTTCAATGTTTCACAACCAGTTATAATGAAAAAACCATTTCTCCACAACACTGAGAAACCCTTAGTTGTGTTTTTTTTTTCTAACATCATAGGACAATGATACCCGCTTTGCAGCATATTATTTTCACAAAGGTTCTTTCTAATGATGACTATTGGTGATTATGAGAAATTAATCATGCTAAACATATGTCAACGCATCTTCAAAGTGACAACAGGCATAAACTGCTCCCCCATTTAGAAGTGTGCTTGAACTCTTGACTACCTTTGTGAAAAGAATTATCATCAAAACACAAGCACAGTGAGTGGCTTCATGCCCAAGAACTGGAAGAATTATCCCCACAGCTATGGATGCTTCGCCATAAAGACAGCTCCTCCCCTCCAGTGCCCAAGCCCTCTCACAACAGAGCAAAAGGATGATGCCCAGAGAACAGACAGTGTGCCTACTAACCATCCACCGGCAGCCCCACTACTGAATCCACAACTTGAACTTCCGTCTCAGTGACCCTCCCACACTGTCCATCAGAGGAGTGTGTTATGAAGCAATGACTACACTTCTGGGAGCCCCACACCAAGGGCGTGCTTGTAACCCAGCAGAGGCTTAACCAGAGGACGTACAGAAGAGAAATCACAGGGGAAACCACATCCAAAGGGAGTCCCTTCACCTCTCCTCAGAGCTCGTGTTCATTCTGACCTGACTGACTTCTGTCAGTTTCTGCCCATGTGCCTGGACCTCCTGCCAGGACCCGTCTCACTGAGGTGCAGGTGTGTGAGGACCCGTCTCAATTATCCAGCACAGAAGACTCAGGTGTTAACAGGGCAAAGGCAGCTGTCCTCTGGGTGCCCATGTAATGATGACGTCTCCACCGACATGCGGTCTTCTGAACAGAGAGCCACGCAAGGAAACGACGTCTAAGCTGACAACACTGTTCCCAAACTAATCTTTCACTGTCCCCTTCCAATAAGGGGCAACTAGCTTACAGCCTGCAAAACAAAACAAGACCAAGCCTGCTGCTAGGTTCTGACAAGCGAGGACACCCAGTAAAGCACAGCGGCATGGAGGGGAGTCCCAGCTCGTCCGGCAGCAGCGACGGGCACGCATCCAGAGGGAAAGGTGTGCGTCCCCCTGTTCACCCACATGCGCAGCCCCCAAGGACTCACCCTGCACACAAGTCTCCCCCGTTAGTAAGGACGGTCATTCGTTTTCAGAATAACTGACGAGAGCTACAACTGAAGTGTGCCGGGCACAGCCCACTTTCTATGTTGCTTTTCACAGTAAGAATACAGGAAGTGTCCCTGTGGTCCTTATTTTATAGATGGCAGACTCGGGCGAAGTTAACAGGCAGAAGGTCGGAGTTAGGGCCGACCCTGCCATCACCCCATCTCTCGGGTGACACTTCAATCCTGGCAGACACTTCAGTTCCAAAGCAGGTTAAGGAAAATGGAATTTCCCTAAAGGACCAGAACAGGCAGTGATTAGCCAACAAAAGCTACTTCACACACAAGGACCCGAAGTGCTCTCAGAGCCGGGATCTCGAATGTGGCAATGAGCCAGAGAGCTGCCCGCATGGGAGGGGCACGTGAACCCGGCTCGGCCTTCCCATCGCCAGCCTGAGCTGCCCCTGTCCTGAGCCTGAGGAGGACAGCTGATCATGAGAGCCTCCCACCAACAGTCCCTGCGTCACTGTGGGCAGGAACCGGGAGGTCAGTGGGGAGTAAGTATAAAATAGCAGAACGGAGTTTATAGAGACAATGTAAACGCATCTTTTCTCCGTCAGAGTCCAGGGTGACTAACGCCGCTAAGAATTCTCAGCATAACTATAAGCAACACAGAAATGATTTAAAACACAGGCCGGGTGGTTGGCTTTACTGAGCTACTTCTCCCCATGACAGAAGCATTTTAAAGAGGCTCCCGCAGAATTAATAGGCAGCAAATAAATGGATGTGTGTTCCCGGAGACTCGCTGTGTTACTCCTATCTGCCTGGGCTCCCACCCCTGTCAAACACGCATCGAAAAGCCACGTCTCGGGTGGATTTAATGGGTCGTCTGTGCATGCAGGAACCCTCTGGACTGACTCAGGGTGTCATCTCAATATGTAATTCTCCAATTATGGCATGACCTCGCTGAGACGCAGCCACAGACGCAACGGTGCCTCTTGTCACCAGGGCTGATTTCTGTTAAAAAGGACAGTGCTTCGAGCCGAGGTCACATGTGTTGGGAAATCTTCTCATTCGGCATTCTGCAAGCTGTTATTTATTTCATAAGTTGTCACAGCATCATGAAATAACTGCTTGACATTCTAAAACTATAGTTTTATTAAAGAGAGAAAAGTCACTTAGTAAAACATGGTAACAAACGGGAAGGCATTTTGTCAATGACATGGGAAGACAGGCTTTGAACAACAATAGGAATTCTAAAACTGCAGAAATAAATTTAAAAACGGGAGTCCCTGGGCAGGTCATCCCTCATTCACAGAAGGTTCTGGTGAGGTCCTGTCACCTCTTGCCATTCTCTTCCAGTGAAGTAGACTAGAGGATACCTGCAGTCCCTCTGACATCCCATCCCCCTCATCGTCAGCAAGCAGGATGCCTCCAATGATTGGGTTTGCCAGGGCAGGGGCAGGGCAACCTTCCTCCCTCTCACCACCTGATGGGGCTTGATGTTTATCTGATGGCAAACACACTCTTGTGCATTCACAACGGGAGCGTCTGCAGTTTCAGAACGTCCTAAGGCAAGAATGTTACACAGAAAATGCTGGTGGGAGAACAAGAGGGAGGCAGTGACTTTCTGTAGGAGGACAACAAGGAAGGAGAGCTTCAAAACCACGTGCTCTCAGCCCAGGATGGCACAGGGGACCACCGATGACGATGTCGAGCGCGTCCCCACTGCAGAGCAAGGCACACAGTCCCATCACCGCTGGTTCCTAGAGTTCCGCCATGCTGTGCAGACACCGAGTGGTTCGCATACAAAAGCCACAGGAGCATGGTCACACATGCATGGACACGGATGTTTTTACACACCACGGCCGTGCGGTAGAGTGCGTGATGTGGAGGACACAGAGTAACACAAAAATATGGGTCTTGAGAGAGGAGGCTAAGCATAATTTCTTCTCAAGAAAACATATAAAAGCAGCCGGGGTGAGAGAGTGCGAATGTCAAAGGTCTTGGGCCCCACCAGTCTCTCCCAGTTCCCACAGCCCCAACAAGACCCTGAGCGGCTGGAATGACACTCCCAGTTTCCAGTCCCCTGCGCTGGGCTGTCCTGCAGGCCTAGGCTCCACATCCAAGCCCAGCAGGTGTCTGCACGTCTGTCCCGAGAGAGCACCTCAGCTCATGCTCCGGTGACCGTGCTGCAACCCAAACCTCCCGTCACGCTCGTCGGGAGACCTACTTGTTTGGGGGCATCCGTGGAGGTGGCGTGGACGTCAGCACCTCGGAGGCCGTTGGACTCAAACACCACTGTGGGAACAAGGGGAGTGTTAGCGGCAATCGGGGCCATTACAGATCAAGCGCTCCACACAAAAAGACACCAGCGCCGAGCCCAGGGCTGGGAAACACCGATTTACCATCACACTTCCGAAGGGACTGTGATGCTGCCGCCCGGGGCCACTGCCCTTTTTAATTCGGACGCGGCTGCTGAAGAAAGCCTCACTGACAACGTTAATTACCAGCCTGTGGGAAGGGACCCTCCTCCTGCCTCACTTGCCATTTGGCCCCTGTCATTTCACATCAGACCGGCTTACTGTGATCCTTCACACTTCTGAGAACGGACCCTCCAGCCTCCCGCTCCCGGTGGGTGACACACGGCTTCTCAGCCTGACACGGTCTCGGGGCCGCGCGTTCCTATGGGCCCGGGGTCCGCATCCCTCCCGGGTGCCTCCGGAGGGTCCCGGCCACACCGTAGGGGCCCAGCGCCTGTCACACTGACAGCGGCTTTGATTTCCATGAGTGCTGGTGGCAGCATAGCTCATTCGCATATTCATTTCTGGGGAGTCTACTCTCTAATTAAAATGAAACATTTGCAAACAGGCTGATCTCAAATTAAACCACATGGCACTTGATGCAAAGAAAAATCTGTTTCAGGAGAGTCTGGCGCACAGTCACAGAAGGGGATGCGTCACCCTCTCCCCGCCCCCCACAAGGACCTAGGTGTCCACATATCAATGACGTGGGCGGGGGGGGGGGGGGGCGATGATCCCCTGCAGAGGACACCCACACCCCACGGGGACAAGGAAAGGAGGGGTGGAGGGACAGAGGGACGGAGGGACAGGGCGAGCCGTACCTGAGTGAGCCCTCATGTGTGCCCGCAGGTGGCTGGGCTGGTGGAAGCACTTCCCGCACTCCACACAGACGAAGTCTCCTTGGCGGGCCTGCGTCCGGGGCGTCCCTGGGTGGCAGTGGCCAAGGGGTGCAGATGCGGAAGGGGAGAAGAAACCATCATTAGTCTGTCTGATGCGACCTGAGGGGAGCTACCTTCCTTGAGGCTCCTCTGACAGAGCCAGGCACAGGCAGGGCCCCGAGCGAGCATGAATTACAGCGAATTAAACTCACTCCCGTGATGAGCCCGAACCGGCGGCTGTCAGGTGTGCGGCTCCGAGCAGCTGGATGCTCGCCCAGCCTTCTGGCTCTGTCAGCGGCACACCAAGCAAATCGGAGTGACATGGGTGGCCAGACCGGCGCCAGAACTCGGAGGCAGCAAGGCCGGCCCCGGCCCCGGTCGATATGCTGGGCCACGGGCCAGGGGCGAGCCATCAACACCTCACCCACTGGGCCCGCACCTGTGTGTCCCACGCTGTCCCCACGGAGCCCACAGGGAACACCTGGGAATGAGGCCCTGGGCCGAAGCACTGGCCTCAAGTTCCCTTCTGATCCTAAATGCAGTCAGCTTTGCTCAGAAAAGGGAGGCCAATATGCTCACTCATCTGAATACCTTTCCTGTTACGGTGTCTTGAAGAAAAGGCTAATTTTCACAGCATGGTGGCTCCACAGAGACTTCCCTGAGCTCAATGGTAACTCAACTCAATGGAGGAACAAGACACGGAACTACTCACTAGAGTTACCTCTGAAGCAACACATTTTTAAATGAAGCTCAGTGAGCTGTTTATGGACTGAAAGTGTGATATTTTAGCGTGAAAGGGTCTCAGTCAAATCAGCAGAACCCACGTCACGATTCCCAAATCAGATGCCTCCACAGATAAAACAACACACAATCGTTGATACGTTACAGGTAGTGTTCATGGAGAGAAGAAGCAAAGACAGGCACGAACCGGCAGGCAGACCTGTCTGATTTTTCACGTTGACAAGTCATTAACCCGAGCCTCAGAGAAATTCAAGAACTTTCCCACCCAGTTCTCAGTTCAGGAACGCAAAAAGCATAAGACACATCATAACCAACACTTGTCCCACTGTCATTAATGGAAAACCACTCACTAATGTTGGCAAGGGGCCCGTGCAACGTACAACAAGAAAAGCATGACTCAGCAACTTCAGCTGTCACCCGCGGGCTCCTCTTCCCAAGAGTTTTCAGCAAGCGCATGGGTGGAGGGAAAGCTCAGGAGGGCTGTCCCTTCTGAGTGAGGCCCTCCTGCAGGGGCTGGCACCCACACCCCCATGTCTCCACTGAGTCTGAGTACACACATCCAGTGTGAAAATGGCTACACCGCTGGCTTTGTGTTCAGGGACTCCTTTCCTTCCTTATTTGGGTCCAGGAAACTCTCAGCTCAAAAAGCACTCTGTTCCCCACTCCCTTCCACCACCCAGAGGTGCTCCCATGGAAACCTCCTCTGACGGCCACCGTGGCTGTCCCATTTTTCCAGGTACAATCAGACTGCTTCCCATGCACAGTCCCTGCCTACACGAGACACCTGCTAACGATGGTGACAGACAGCACGGCACTTGTGTCTGAAGTCACATTCAAACACAAGTCATTATAACGCTTTTTCCCTGAGGAAATCTCTCAGCTGGCTACTTCCTATCCAAACTACTACTCTACTCACCATTCTTACATCCTCAATTAAGGATGCATCAGCATACGTGCACACACATACACACACGCACACACACACACTTCCCTGCGCATTCTGCCAGAGCATTTTATCTTTACTTCGTAAAAGAAAGGACCCTTGCCCTTTGTGGTCAATATTATTATGCCAAAGCTACTGCAAAATTCTGAGTTAATCAAAAGGTTATGAACTTCGTTAGAATTGAAGCCCACCTGGTGAGCGGCAGCGCTAACACTCTAACCCCGAAACCAGAGGTGTGCAAAGTGGAGTCAGAAGGGAGGAAGCGGCCTGGCCAGCCTTCCAGGGACGCTAACCCTCGTCAGATGCTCACCCTTGTCTGAAAGATTCAGGCCAAGGAAGCACAGTCTTTCAAATCATCATATTACTGCGTCCCTGGTAGAAGGGATCATTTTTAAGGGCCAATAAGAAAGACCTTACATAGTATTCTATCCAGCACTATGTCATTCCCGTTAGCTTTAGTTTTTTTATTCTAAAACCCATACTATCATATACCATTGGCTAGCCACAAGTCTGGAAACACAGATGATTTGTTATTTTATTACTATTCTATCAAGAAACCATTCATGTTATAGTCACGTTTCCAGACTTGGCAGCCACTCTGTGGAACAATGTTTTTTCCGTTCGTAAAAGGTGAGTCGGCGAGCCCAAGGGAAGGGACAGCGTCACTTCCTCATAACGCCTTCCTCTTTTGGCAGCACTTCCAGACTATCATTTCTTCACAAGCATCTTCCACCTGAAACATGTGTGGGGAAAGGTCTCTGAGAACTTTCTTCCCTCCTGAAAACACCTGATGTCTTCGAGACCCCGCCTGAGAGCAAGGTGCTGTGTGAATGGAAACGTCACTGAAAAAAAAAATCACAGAATCTCACTGGCAGCGCCAACTGCATCACAGACACAACAATGCAGTTCTCCTCCCCTGGAAGATTCTCTCCCGAGGCTTTCTCTTCCCTGGCTGCAGGCGACACTACAGGTGTAATCGATGGCCAGCACGCCAAGGGGTGACCTTCACTCGCAGATGACACCCCAGGAGGAGACATAAAGTGAATGCATCAGACGACAAAATAAGAGCCAGAGTGCCCACAGACTCAGAGAATAAACGTGATTTGGACTCGAGATGAATTAGGAGAGAACCCAGATTCAGGATGCAAGGGTCCACTGCCCACAAGGTCGAGGAGGAGCGGGCACAGCCACAGTGGACAGCAAACCTCAGAAGGGGCGGTTACTGGCACGTGAAGCGACATGTCTATGATGACGCCCCTGCCCGAGCTGCAGCAACAGGCAGTCTCCCTAACAAGGACATTCACACGCTGGTCACCCCAGGGACCTCTCACCTCTCAGTCAGACCACACCCAGGCTCTGGGCTGCCTTCTGCAGCAACAAACACCTCCAGAGCTTCCTAAACACACTTGCAAAGGAGGAAAAGGAATCAGCGAAGTACATAGGTCAGACTGTGGGAACCGGTCCAGCTTAGGGTGCTTGGGCGGGAGCGGGGCCCCAGGAGAGGCTGAGAGCCGTGGCAGGAGGCGGCGCACTACCATGGGAAGGGTTCAGGCGGGTTCTCATCTGCCCCCGAGTTGAGGCCAGGGCCCAGCAGAGGAAAAGGTCACCTGGGGGAGGCGGGTCCCTCCTTACCGCGCGGCTGCTCACATGGCAGCCTGCAGAAGTGGATCTCGGCCCCTCCCCACGCTCAGGAAGCTCTGATGCTACAACTGCACTTGTTAGTGGAGAAGCACTCAAGAGGTGAAAACACCTCCCCTGAGCGACCCCCGTAAGAGCGAAGGGGAACACTCAGTCCTGCCTATGTCAGTGTGAATGTGAGAAGGGTGATCGTCCAGGAGAGCACAGGTGCTTCACGGAAGGTTGAGCACTTTTCACATTTAAAAAGTAAATACTTAATTTCTTTTTTTTTTAAGCCTTAGGACCAATTATATTTTTAAATTTTAAGGAGAAAGGAAACTATGTCAAGCTCCTTTGTATTTCTATCTCTGTCATTTGAAATTCTTAAAACCTTGACTTCAAACTCACTTCTTTTTTGGGGGGAAACAATAAAAGCCACAAGCAGGCCGCCGGGCAGCACCGGAGACCTGAGGGTGGGTGTGGTGTATTGGTGTGGGTCTGGGTCACCCGTGCAGCCGTGGGGCTGGAACTAACTCAACTGCAGGTCGGGTTACGGGGCAGAGGTCACTGAAACACTGCAAACGTGTCGCTCACACGCCGTGAGGGTGCAGTAGGGGAAGGACTGGGCCGGCACCCGCCGACTGTCACCTGTCACCTGGGTCCAGAGCGTCTCACTTTCGGGTCCAAGAAAATTTGTATCTAAAGAACTGAGGCCAGTATCAGATCCCAAAGTCTGACCTGTGTACTTCTGATCCATTACACAGCAAATAACCTGCACGAGTGGAAACTATGGCTGACTGTGTCAAGCTCGCTCGATGGAACTGAGACCGGAAAAAGTGCAACACTGAGCTGTGTGGACGCTGTTTCACCACCTACCAGGAGGCTTATGCCCAGGCACGTGTTGGGCACAGAGCACCTCTGCCAGGAGACAGGGTGAGAACCTTAACCAGGACCCACGGGGTCTCACTGCTTCTTACGAACACTCAGCATAAAGCCTCGCAACTCCTCTGGGCGCCCAGGCCCTCGACTCCACTCCGCAAAGTTCACAGGGAGTGCTGACTGTGATGTGAGCAGGACCCACATGGCTCAATACTTTTCAGAATGGGAGCCGAGGCTGAATGCAATGCAAGCTCCACCAGACAGTCTCCAAGGCTGTGCAACGCCCTAGTTTTCACCTAGTCGAGAAACACCCCATGTTTTCTCTAAGGGTCAACGTGAAGTAAAGCATCACCGGCCAGACCGAGGTGGCTCAGGTGCCTGTGGACCGGGGCTGGTCCCAAAGTCACAGGAGAAGAGCAGGAACTTAAACTGGCACGTGTCTGCCCAGCACCATCACACAGTGGATTCGGGGTGCCTCTCTGCTGACATGACCTCACCAACCCTGAGCCCCATCCCCCAAAGTGCTTCCAGCTTAATGGGTGCTGAGGGGCCAGTTCTCAAAGGTCACAGTACTCAGGAATCTGCTTTAAGAAAGTGCAGGTGTAAAAAGAGAAAGTGCAGGTGCCAGATGGACACTTCTGTCCAAGCCGGTGAGGACCGCCCAAGGTGAGAACTCAGGGACAGACTCCACAGGGCTGGGTTTGTCTGGGTGGTTTTACACGGGAAACACTCAGATTTCCCAGGGTGCTTGGTGCGCAGTGAGCGTGACCTTCAACTGACGATCAAGGGCATCATACCCAATGGGGCACGTGAAAACCTGCTGGCGATTCCTTGTTATTACTGCTAGGTGTCCACACTGAGGGACTGGCAGGGAAGGAAACGGGCATTTAAGGAATATTTTTTCCAGAACTAGCGAAAGTCCATTCCCCAAACTTTACATGGAACATTTCTAGTCTACAGAGGCTTTGCTTACTAATGCTGGCACACTGATGTATAGAGATATATATATATATTTTTTAATTATATACAGTCAAACCTCGGTTCTCGAATGTCTCCCATCTTGAACAATTCGGTTCTCGACCAAGTTGTTCACGGGGAAAATGTCTCGGCTGTTGAACAAAACTTCGGTTCTCGACCCAACAACCCTTTCATGCTAATACCTGTATGATCAGTCACGTGTCTCTCAAGCTACAAACAAAGGAGAGAATGCACAAGTTGAGTCAATTTACCGCTACACCTCACGTTATTAGCATCTCAGGAAATTGTGCTGTGAAATATTTTCAGGGTATTTTTGCTTTTGTGGCTGCTCATTATTATTATTAAATATATACAGGAAGTCACTGTGGGTCCTAACAAGGTTAGTGATAGCAGCAAAGGGAAAATAAAAGTTGTGAAAACAGTGATAGAGCTTCAAAGAGAAATAATTGCAAAGTATGATAGAAGCTAATTTTCCAGAGTAATAGAAATAAGAAAGGTTAAAACAGGGAATCATTTAGGGGTCTGGAACAGATTAATTTAATTTACATTATTTCCAATGGGGGAAAAAAATGATTTGGTTTTGAACAAATTGCTTCTTGAACAGCCTTCCAGAATGAATTAAGTCTGAGAACCGAGGGTCCACTGTATACGTATAATAAAACTTAACAAGGGACAATGAGCATCTGTTGAAACTTTGCTTAAAATATCAAAGAGGTGAAGTGCCATGGAGGCGGCCTGCTCCTGTCAACATCAGCGTGGAGGAGGTGGAACTGTTTCCAAACGAGCATCCCAGGAGGCAGCCCCAGGGCCACAGCTTAGGCGCCGCAGCAGGCGGCACTCCCAGCCAGAGGGGCACTCCCAGCCGGAGGGCGGGGGGAGCCAGCTGGGGCCACAGCTGGGACGAAGGGAGGGACAGCACAGCTTACCTCTGTGCTCGGGCGCAGGGCCGCTGGCCCCCCAGCTCTGGCAGAGCGTGGCCAAGTCCTTTGGAATGTAGGTCTTAAAGATATTGAGGATGTCTAGACGCTTCTCATGGCCCTCGGGCGCCGGCTCCTGCTTGACGGCCTGCGGGGTGGGCTGGGCCTGCGGGGCTGTGTTCCCTCTGGAGCCCTGGCTGGCCTTGGAGGGGGGCTCTCGGGGAGGTAGAGCAGGGCCCCCGTCGTCTTTCACCTGCAGCTGACCCTGAGGCTGAGGGCTCAATTTGGCTTTCGGTGGGTCCGGGGCACTGTGCTTATTTGGGGGGCCCAGGCCAGCCCCCAGAGGGGCAATGACATGCTTGTCCCCCAGCCTGCTGGTGGCCGGGGGCTGGGAGCCCACCCGGGCAATGACAGTGGGTGTGGGGGTGGCACTTCTGCTAAAGCCACCACCCGCCGCAGGCCCGGGTCTGGGGCCGGCCTCCTGCTTCGGCCTGGGTGGAGGTGGCTGGGCCAGGGCGCTGTGCTGCTCTGGGCCATGGCCTGGTTTGGTCTGCCGAGGCCCCTCGGAGCCAGCTGCCCAGAGAGCGCAGGGGCCCCCCAGATGGCCCTCCCGGCTCTTAGGCATGCCGGTGGCCTTTGGGGTCCCACCCAGGGGCAAGGAGCTGCCTTTGGGCCCTGGAGCGCCACCCGGGACCTGGGTGCGCGTGAACCTAGCAATGGGCAGAGGCTGGCAGTCTTTGCCCCCAAGGGCAGGCGGGGGGCCTGTGCGTCCACTCCGGACGAGGAAAACCAAGTTGTTTCTGATGCTCTTGTAGCCGTTGGGCTGCGTCCACTGGGGGGCCATGGAGCTGCAGCTGACGCGGTGCCAGATCCGCTTGTGCATCCACAGCACCTCGGGGTAGTAGGTCTTGTGGCTGCAGTAGGGACACGGGTACACGGCCAGCGCCGCCTGCAGCGAGGAGGCCAGCTCCTTGTGGCTGGGGTCGTCCCGGGTCGACCTCTCGCTCAGGTCCAGCGGGATCAGGTCTGGGGCCAGCGCCCTCCTGCCCCCAGAATGCTCCTTATTGTGCAGGTCACAGGGCTTCTCTTTGGGGTGGCCAGCCGGGCTCTCCGAGGATAGCTGCAGGGCCGCGCCTTCTGGAAAAGCCTGACCTGCATTCGAAGGGAAGTCTACGGCGTCCCTAAAGCCGCAGACCTCCTGCTTGGGGTGGCACGCAGGCATCTTCAAGTCCACAGAAAACCGAGGCAGCTCCGGTCTCCTGGAGGTCTCCCTGCTGCGGTCCTCACGTGCGGACACGGGGGCTGCCGTTTCCGCGCGGGGCCCGCCGGGGTCCTGTCCTGGCAGGGTGCGTCCAAGGCTGTGACTCTGGCCTCCATTGGAGAGCAGGAGCTGAGCCACGTCTTCGGAAAAGCGGCGGCTGTGTGGCTTTGCCCCTGAGGATCAAATGTAAAACGTGAAGTTACCATTTCTCATCAGAACAGAACAAGGTACAGAAGCACAACCAGGCGCTGGGTGCGGAATCAGAGGGTGCCCGGCTGGAATCAGAGCGCTCCAGAGTCTGGCTGGCTCCCCACCGCACTCTGCAAGGAGCCAAGGAGCTGGCCACCACCAAGGGCGAGGTGACGTTTGGGGCGGGGCGTCTTTTTTTCAATTGATTTAAATGATTTAGGCGACTGTAGAGGAAAATAAAATAGCTGGATATTTAGTTACCTGTAACAACAGAGTCACTGGTTAACAGGGTGACTAGTTCATCCAACACCAGGAAATGCACTTTCTTACACACAGACTTCCCAGGCTCTCCGAACTGGGGCTACTGGGGGGCTGCAGGATCACCCCCAGCCAGCTGTGTTAAGGTAAGAAAACTCAGAGAGGCCAATATGCAATCCATGGCCACGCTGCACAGCCGGAAAACAGCTTCGTCTGCCCAAGGGGTCCTGGCTGCCTCCGAAATCGGGCCAGGACAACCTGGCCCGATCCCAAAAGGATCTCTAGAACTCTCTCCTGTATGGTCCGATGTTCAAGTCCAAAACCTCGACACCAAAGCTCTCCTGCACAGGCATGAAGGAAAGGGGCAAGTCAAGCCACTCATCCCCACCCTTCTGGGGAGACACCTGCACACGTCCCAGCTCTCTGCACCTGGAGGGTCCTGCCTGAGCGCACGTGGACCGCCTGCCTCTGCGCGAGGACTTGGTGTGACCAACCTCGTCTCTCCCCAGGTGGATGCTACACACTGCGAGATCACGAACGAGCGTGGCTGGTCTGGCTTCAAAGCTGAAGTTTTAAAATTTCTGCAACATCGGACTTGACAATGAGCAAGTAGATTTAACGGGACTTGAGAAAAATCCCGTCTTAAGTTTGCACTGGTGCCCTGGGTTTATTTAACTCTAGGAGTCAACATTTAGAAGGTGTAAGAAATGTTGGGTCCCTTAAACCTCCATTCTTCCTCCCTGGGAAGAATGTCATCTTGTTGCTGCCAGTGGGACGGGGATGGGTTAAGATCAGGCGTTCTCTCGTGAGAAGCCCAGTACTGTCAGTTGTGACACAGGCTGTTTGGGAGATTTTAACACTCTCTTGGAATGTAGGGGTCTGCTTACACAGAATGCTCTTTAAGTATCTGAGTATATTCTTGGAGTTGAGATGTGGGAACCCCACGCTCTTCAGAAGGGATCCTCAGGAGAGCACCCTTCTCAGAGGCCGTGCCCTGGGAGCTGAGGCTCATTTCCAACCAGGAGGTAAGTAGCGAGCCACTCGCAAGCAATTCGAAAGGATTATGTCCACGTAAAACATAGTGTTACCTGTATGTTGTCATCAGCAGAAATGGCGAGGAGCCAAATCAAGGAGGGATGCTTTCTGCGGCTCCAAAAAGCTCACAGTAAAGTCAAGTGCGCTCGTCTGTCACAAGTGGTACCCGTGACCACTCAGAAGGTGGGCAGCCCTGGCAAGCCCTACTGATAGAAGGGGCCTCCACCTGGAACTAAAGGGGGGACCATGCTGGCCTTGGATTAACTCAGGCTGCTGCCTGTTGTGTCAAATTCACTTTTAAATGTTCACAGAGCAGCGTCTGGGGCTGGGAAGCTGGTGTTTCCCATACGGAAGGACCATGGACTCACGGGAGGGCTGTTGGTGGAGCCTCCAAATTGAGCAGTGAGGCCTGTGCCATCTGACAGTGCACTTCTGGGGGGTCTGCAAAGCTCCTCCCAAGTCCCAAGCATCATGCTCCCAGAAAGTATCATCAAACCTCACAGGCGAACTCCCAGTGCCTCTGATGGAGACACGGAGGAAGAAACGGACAGCAAATAACAGACGTAACACGCCAAGTCCCCCGCGAGGCTAGGCAGACTGTTACCTAAGGAAACTGGTCACCCGAAGAAAGACTACTCCCCAGTGGCCAGCTACCTCCAGGGGGACAATCAGGAATGGGGACGATGGGTAATCTGAGGTCAGAATGAGCGAGAGGGGACGGCATGGGGTAGCTATGTGCTTCTTCATACAAGGCGGCCCGCTTACCACTCCCAGGGCCCTTTCTCATGGAGGTTCTCTGGTCAACAGGGCTGGTGAACCTGACCTCAATAGCGGACTCTGGTCAGCTCAGAGAAGCACTCAAGGCCTGCCCTCTGCTCTCCCCCTACCCCCGACATCTGCGAGCCAGCAGCCCCTAAGGCACTGGAATAAACCCACAAGTGAGGGGCTGAGAAGGGCTGCGAAGGGCTGCCCTTGGCACCGTCAGGTCCGGGCAGGCGGAGAGGAGTGCTGCCCTGCTGGCCCCCAGGGGACAGGATTCACAGGATTCAGGGCCGCTGCTCCAGGTTCTTCCGTGCCATTTCCAGTTTTATTCACGGTCATTTCATCTGCAAGGTGGACTTCCCAAAGAACTCCGTACCACCACTATCACCACCGAAAAGCAGGCCAGGCCCCCACCCACCAGCACAGAAGGGTCCCCTCCCTGCAGGATCCCAGCCCCCACCGCCATCCAGCCCTTCATGCTGGTCACCAAGCTCCACGAACACACAGCTGCCTCAGAGGCGGCATGCAGCAAACACTTTATTAGATCACAAGGAAGACGGCTAGGAGTTTGAGCCGTCTTCCTTGTGATCAGACAATGCACTTGATCTTCACCGGGAGGCTGAGTGACACCCTAAGAACAGAGGCTCAGGAAGCCCCGCAAGTCACTGTGGGCACAGGGCACCTAGAGGACCTGCACTGCTGTCCAGGTGCTGAAGCAGGTGCCAAGCCTGCAGGAAGCACGCGTGTGTGTGACCCCATACGCATGCATCACATACGTGCACATCACATGCACACTCGCACACACAGTCGTTTTTCCATGGCTGCTCTCTCTTTGGCCCAATAGTTTCTGTGACTCACACACACACCTTACATTACTCCATTTCTTTCTAAATAGGACCTTCCTGGATGTGGTTTTAGCACTGACCAGACCCACATCCCAAGGCTGGGGGTGCCGGGCTCACCTTGCACACGCATCTCACGTTGGAACCCCCACCAGCCCCGGAGGTTCGGGGGTGAGTTAGGAGCTTTCAATGTTTGGAACCCCGGAGGCAGCATCTCCAATGCACAAGCACAGTGCTGCCCCAGAGATACTGATAGGGTGATTACGGCACCTGGCAGGGGGAAAAATCACTCCCCTTTCAATTTTTATTAACTTTTTTTATTGTGATGAAGCATGAAGGAGGTGGCAGGAGGGGGTGGGGGGCTGGACCCAGTGACTCGGATTCTCCAGGGACTCACCTCCCAGGCTACCCGTGAGCACAGAGCCCCCAGGACTGCCCCCCGCACCCCTGGGAATACCGCCTGGCCAGGGTCCTGCTCAGAGGACGCAGAGGGACGTGGGGACATGAACAGCCAGGGAACCCAAGGAGACACAGCAAGACCTGCCCACACCCCCTCTACCACCGCCCAGTAAGCGCAGGTCAAACACGTGTCTTTTTCCTCCAGGCCCTTCATCGCGTAACAGAACATGGAGCCATGCAGCTGGCTGTGCACCACACCAGAGGGCAGGCTGGCACGCCCGCGTGAGAGGGCTACCTCCTTCCTGCACTTTTCACCACCGCACTGGGCACTTAAGTCGCACTGAATAGCAAGACAAGTAGCTTGCAGAAACTGTAACACAAGTCAAAACATATTTTGTCACTGACCTGCTGGGGAAGCAGATTAGATCAATTCCATGTCTCGGTGTTCTGGTTTATAAACTAAGAATAGTTTCAAAATATTTTATCCCAGGTTTGGGGGGGGGGGGCGGGGAGGAACCTAAGAGCAGTACAAAAGTCCCTCATCGTACAGTGTGATTCCATTTATTGAAAGGGTCCTTCAGGGGACCTTCTGACCGCCTTGGGGACAAGACGGGACATGGCTGGATTTGGAACACCGAGGAGAACTGGGAGCTGAGCCAGGGCCCGCCCAGGATGGATTGAAGGGTGCCACACGGTCTGTCCTCCCACAGCCCGCCATCATTTTTATCAGTGGCCTCGAGGAAAAACTGGGACTGGACGAGCTACTCGGACCCAGAACTGACACTCAGCTCAGAGGGACAGCCAAACCTTCATCAAAGATCAAAGTTTTCAACAGGGAACAAAGGCTCAAAACTAACAAGATAAGGGAGAACAGAAAGTACAGGAAGAGAAAGGTATGCATTAAAGCTGTGCTTGAAAAAGACTCTAGGCCAGTGGTTGGCAAACTGCAGCTCGCGAGTCACATGCGGCTCTATGGCCCCTTGAGTGTGGCCACGAAGTTTCAATCGCAACCGCACGTGGTATTTTGTGGAAGAGCCACACTCAAGGGGCCGCAGTTTGCCGACCACTGCTCTAGGTTCCTAGGGGACCACAAGCTCAGAGGGAGCTGCCGCAGCCCAGGGTTTTAAATGGAACCAAAGAAAGCATCCTTAGCCACAGCCAGGGAAGCAAGAGCACCCATGAGCATACGTAGTCAGAAGAGCCCAGACGCAGCTCTGAGACACACACACATTGAGGACAGGAGAGATGAGGGGCAGGGTGTGTGGAACAGGTTGCCCCGGGGGGTGGGGGGGGGGGCATTTCTGGAAACCAAGTAATATGAAGAATGGCCTGGCCAGTGTGGCTCAGTGGTTGAGCATTAACCTATGAACCAAGAGGTCACAGTTCAATTCCCAGTCAGGGCACATGCCCGGGTTGTGGGCTTGATCCCCAATGTGGGACGTGCAGGAGGCAGCCGACTGACGATTATATCTCATTGATGTTTTTATCTCTTTCTCCCTCTCCCTTCCTCTCTGAAATCAATAAAGATATATTTTAAAAAAATATGAAGAATGACTGCAGGGACTTGAACTTTCCTCTATAAAGGGGGCTGGACTGCCATAAACTTTGCCTTTCACTCAGGACAGGAGGGAAGGATGGGTAGGTGGATGGGTGGACGGAAGAATAAATGAGTGGTTCCTGGAGGGCAG